CGAAACGTTGACTTCTCCTTTCCTCCAGATACTGCCTGGCTTGCTGTGTTCTTCCAGAATTCTGTAACCGCCTGGCCTGGCCCTGGACCATGGGTTCCACAGCCCAAGACATATGGCAAGAAACACATATCAACTTAGGAAAGAAGGCCACTAAGATAACCATAGCTGGAGGAACACAGCAGGCCAGGCAGCATCAGAGGAGTGGGAAAGTTGGTGTTTCAGGTCGGGACCCTTCTTGGGATTTCTGAAGAAAGTGTTCATCCAGCTCCACACAGTGTTATCTCTGACTCCAGCAGCAGCAGTTCTTACTATCTCTAAGATAACCACAGCAATAGCAACAGCAGTTCCTAGAGAAACAGGTCTCCACCCAGATTGGGATGTGTGCCTTGGGGCTCTACCTCCCCATGGAGATAGCAAGAGACTCTGCACTGTCCCACCCACACCCAATCCACCTCTGCCCCACAGATGGGGACCTCTGCCACCCTACTCCCAGGTGGCTGCGCCTCTATCACCCATGCCCAACCCGTACCGTGACCTCTACCCTTAACCATAGCTGGCATCACAGCCCATGAATCCTGTGGTCATCCAGTGTCACACAGCTGATGGTGGCACTACACATACCAGCTGGTGGACATTACCAAAAAAGTGACACTCTTCGATTTCACATCAGATCCATATACATTTTTGATTAAATTTATCAGCCATCCATCATATGTTGACTGGACGCTGAGGAGGAAACCGAATTAATCACCATGTGCCTCAGTCCAGCTATCCATTCAGCCCTCCCCGAGGACCAATACTCGGGAGAGGAACCCTTTGTGAAATGAAGGCAGCGGTCCTCACTGCTATAGGGCAGGCTAATGCAGACCCCATAGAGGATCTGCCCAAGTGCCAACAACATCAAGGGGAACACCCCACAAGCTTTGCCCGGAGACGCTGGGTCCAATTTGTCTGTGTTTTCAGGGACATGACCGCACCTTTCTTACTGATACACAAGGGGAGAACTGGGTCTGCACCCTTGCCTCAGAAAGGAGGAGGGATGGATGTCTGCGATTTGACCATCTGAAGCCTCCTGTAATGACGTTTGGGTCCTCTGCAAATTAATTGCTGTATGGGAGAGGGACTTGCGGACACAACAGCCATCCGGAAAGTCCGTCCGCATAAGCACGGGCCGGATTTCTTATAGCGTCCAACTTGGAGGAATGAAAGAAGGGACAGGAATACGCTAAGGAGTCCCAGACTGACTCCCCCCTCCATACACATCCCCTGCCCCCAGAAGAGGGGAACTCCCACAAATGAACACCAAACCTGATCTGTGCTATAACCGTGGCCAAACCAGCCAGTTCATTCGGGACCAATGGGCACCTAAAATTCCAATCTGGCACTGGGACATTGGAAAAAGGGGCCAACGTCCAGGGTACCATCCTGGTAGCAACGGCTCGAATGAAAACAGGCTGTGGCTTATCCGTTGAAGATGACAGGGGCAACCCTGTAATGGCAGTAGCAGTAAATGTCTCCATCCACGAGTGCACTAGCTGCCACACGCATACAGGGCATATTCTATTCTATTGCCCTTCTTGGGTTCTTAAAAAAAAAGAGGAGGCAGGAATGGATGACAACTGGACAATTTGACAATTTTAAATACGTTACATCGACATGGTGTCAGATATTGGACAAAGATATTTACAGAAATTACTTTTTGTTTAGGAGGTGCACTGGAGCGCCAAGACGCTGATGCAACCCTTACAGAGTGTTTATTGTATATGATGTATTATTATAATGACTGTATCCAAAAATGTAGTGCAGGCACAAGGGAAAACAACGTACCCAGGATTTCTTTGGTACGACCCACCAGACGTTGGGGTATGTGTAGATAGGACTCCCCTAGCAGTGAATAGATGAAAGAAAAGAGCACTCTTTAATGATGTAGCCACAGCGTATGGGGCAGGGGTGACAATGCTCAATACCCTTGATTTGGCTAATTTGGAAAATAAACTCAGGATCTTGACCCAACAAGTCAAACAAGCTCTAGAAGGACTGAATGCAGACAATCAACAAGAGACCATGGGATAACTACGGAGAATCAGGCTAGCCACCACTTAGTGACCGTACTAGAGGGTCACACCAAGATGTCAATCTAGATCATCCAGGGCAAAATCAGGGATGACAGTAAGCAGCAAAACCACACTCTGTGCAGCATCTACAGAAACTGGTCAGGAGAGAACGCACACCAACATCTCTGGCTGGCAGTTGAGGCAGCTCATCAGGGTGTGGCATAATGACAACTGCAAGGACAGTTGGTGAGGAACTGGGCTTGAGGACCCTTGAAGTCAAAAATATTGGAATTATGAGAAAAAAGGTATTTGGATGGGTTACCATGGCACCCTCCCATAAGTTGTGCAGAGACAGGTGACAATAGGGATGACTCAAACAAACAGACCTTGACATCATGCCTAAACACTGTCAACCTTGAATTTGACTCCTTTCTTATCTAGCTGCGGACCTAAATTGCTATCACCTTCATATACCTCAAGATACTGGCAGTTAACATTGCATGCTGGGAAAGACAGATATCCCAAGAGCTTGGCATGCTCACTCTGAATAATACTGCACACGCACACACTTTAAGATGGATGGAAATCCCTGGGTTAGCATTATTGTCACTTCTATTTGTTATGATTACCGAACGTCGTCTATGCACTACAGTCCGAGATGGATTGTAACGACAGTTTTTTTTGTACAAATAATAATATGATAAACTTGACCAATGTTCAAAGAGGGAGAATGTAGCAGCCTTCTGGCTGCTAAAACACAAATAACCAACTTGACTGAATAGCAATGGATGCTGGGTACATTAGCCAAGTGAAACTATAAAATCACAAAACCCACACATCAGACACAGTGCAAACACAGCAGCAAGGTGCCAACGATATTAACATAATGTAAAAGGCAACAGTTATTTCTGCACAGACACCATCTATCCGTTAAACAAAGGATAGCCCAGACAGATAGGCACCGGGTCCTGCTACACAAAGAAACTGACAGTAACAAGACAGTAACAAATGATTGACTCGTGTTTCAAGCTATTGAGTATATCTCCCTGATTGGCCAGAAGTATAGAAAGTTCCAGAAGACCACCTAAAAGCTATAAAAACAGAGTTCACCTGCAGACAGTTCAGTTGGAGCCGCTATTGGAATCGTCTGAAGCCTTCTGAGGAGACCAGCATGGCAAGAGGCAGAGGCCAGCTGATCATCCAGAGAGAGAGAGGAAGAAGAGATAGTAGGAACTGCAGGTGCTGGAGAATCTGAGATAACAAGTGTAGAGCTGGATGAACACAGCAGGCCAAGCAGCGTCAGAGGAGCAGGAAGGCTGACGTTTCGGGCCTAGACCCTTCGGGTTAGGGTTAGGTTTCAAAGGGGGGGAATGCAGCAGCCTCCTGGCTGCTAAAACACAGATAACCAACTTGGCTGAACAGCAAGGGATGCTGGGTACATTAGCCAGGTGAAACTATAAAATCACAAAACCCACACCTAGACCCTTCGGTCAGCCTTCCTGCTCCTCTGATGCTGCTTGGCCTGCTGTGTTCATCCAGCTCTACACCTTGTTATATCAGAGAGAGGAAGAAAGCAGCTTCACAGACTCAGTGACAGCCGCAGAGGGTGCAACTGCGTAAGTTTACTTAGGAAGTACTGTATCCTTAAGGGGCCAAATAAGATTAGAGATAATATGTTTAGTATCAAAAATGATTGTAATTTTGTTCCTAATAAAGTGGGACTGTTTTGTATCGGTACCAGCTTGTGTTCATATTGATTTGACTGCTTTGGTATTGTGAGACACCTGGGCAAATTCATTCGTAATATTCTGGTAGGAGTTGTCTGCAACTTGATTAAACTGTACCAGGCAGCAGCACTATTGTGGAACTTAACTTAATAGATGCAATGGAGCAAGAGATAGTGGAAGAATTGAACAGAATCCTCATAGGAAGCAGGGAGTTAGGAAGTGTATTCAAGGTAATTTTAGGAATTGATGGGTTTGTAATAAGAATTAGAATTTCATAGAACCCATCCACTGTGGAAGCAGGGTATTTGACCCATCGACTCCACACTGACCCTCTGAAGACCATCCCACCCCCCACCCTAGCTCTTAACGCTGTATTCCCCATGTCTAATCCACCTAGCCTGCACATCCCTGGACACTATGGGCAATTCTAACTTGCATATCTTTGGCCTGTGGGAGGAAACCGGAGCACCGGGAGGAAACCCACGCAGACATAAGTACATTGTGCAAAATCCATACAGACAGTTATCCAAAGGTGGAATTAAACCCAGGTCACTGGCACTGTGAGGCAGCAGTGCGAACCACTGAGCCACCATGCCACCCTAGCTTATGAGCCAGCTATCTGGAGAAAAGAAGTCAAGGAAAGGAAGGGAAAAATCAGATGGACTAGGTGAAGTTGAGAAAAGGGTTAAAGTTCAAAGGAAATTGACTAATTTTTCCAGTTCAGGACGTGAGCAGGAAACAGCTTTGATTATAACTGGGAAAAGTTGTGGGATCAATCCTAAGTAGGACTAGAACAAGGCATGATCCACCTACCACAGGATCTAAGGTCAGGGACAGGCTTAGAAGCAATGACTTGATGTTCATTGGTGGGATCATTGTCCAGGAAGAGAAAGGAAGAAAAATACCCAAGAGCTGCTGCTCAACTTGAACAGGGTATGGTTTTTCTGGACAAAAACGCTGAAAGAACTGCAGATGCTGGAAATCTGATACAAAAACAGAAATTGCTGGGAAATCTCAGCAGGTCTGGCAACATCTGTGGAGAGAATTCACAGTTAACATTTCAGGTCCAGTGACCCATCTTCAGAACTAGAAGTGTCACTGGACATGAAATGTTACCTCTGATTTCTGTCTACAGATGCTGCCAGACCTGCTGAGATTTTCCAGCAATTTCTGTTTTTGTCTCATGGTTTTTACTGGATGTTTTTTTGGCCTTTTCAAGGAGTCTATGGGAGTAGCTACACCACATGTACTGCAGAGGTCCAAGAAGGTAGGTCACAGTCTCTCATGGCAATAAACATTGGTCTTGTAAGTAATACTGACCTCCCAAAAAGCAATATTAAAAATAATCTGTGCTCTTCATGGATTGGAATAATTCAGGTTTTATTAATCATCAAGATCCCCTCCAAGCATGGGAGCTCTAAGAAGTACCAACTCCAGATTGATCAGATAAGAAATCACTTCATGGTAAAGTTACTGTTGTGATGATTAGTCAAATTAGTCATACCCAAGTAGGCCTGTTTGTATTCTAGTGGCTGACTATTAAACAATATTGATTAAAGCCTTTGAACAAAAATTATGTTATCTCGGATAAGGAATGATGTAATATACATATTGAAACGTTTAAATTTTGGATTAAATATAAAAATGAAAAATGTGGAATACGTATCCTGTAATATGTGGGTAGTCATGGACGTCATCAGTGACCTAGATGACCGTCTTTGCAGGAAGTGATGCCAGCTAGAGAAATGTGAACTCTGGGTTTCGGCTGAGAATGTTCAGAGAGGTGATTGCACCACAGCTTAAGAACACGACCCAGAAAGGGAGTGGGCGACGGCCACATGGACCAGGAATTCCCTGAGGTCCCATTTGCTGATTGGTTCTCTATTAGTTCCTTGGAGGGATGCAGTTACAGCAAAGTTCATGGCAGCTCAAGCCCAAGACCTTGCAGGGAGAGTTGCTAGTGCTATTGGGGAGGATTTAACTAGATTGGCAGGAGGATTGGACACTGAGGACAGATTCAGATAGGACAAATTCAGAGCAGGAAACTGGAGATAGAGAACTAGCAAGTGACTGAAACAATAAGCTAAGATTAAAAATTGTAAAGCACAGGAATTTGGCAGTATTAAAAGATATATATATAAATCTGCTGATCTGAGGACACAGACACGCGGCAGCATGATATTGCTATAATGATGGAAATGGCAGCTTAACACCCTGGATATGAATTTTCAAGCAGGATAGAGAGGGAGGATCATATAAAGTGGGAATATAGTATTATTGGTTAATGAGTCAATTACAGCAATAAGGAGAGCTGATGTACTAAATTATAATCAAAGTAGGCCAAATGGGTTGAGCTCAGAAATAAAAAAAAAGGACAGCCTCTCTGCTAAGCATGCACTATGGACCCCAAAATAGTGGGACAGAGATGGAAGAGCAAATATGTAAAAAAAGATTTGAGTGTAAAAGCAAGTGTAATAACAGTTCAACTCCCCTAATACCAACAGAGATAGAACGATTATGAAAGTCACAGAATGAACACAATTCTTGAACTACTTTCAAGGTAACTTATTTAGCTAGTATGTAACAGGCCCAATGAAAGGACATGCAGTTCTAGATTTCGTCTAGGAAGTGAAGCTGGGCAAGTGGATGAAGTAGCAGTGGGTGAGATGGTGACCGAAATGCAGTTAAGTTTGTATCATTATGGAAAAGGACAAAGATAGAACAGGTGCAAGAGTTCGAAAGTGGGGGAAGACAAATTTTACAAAACTGGGAAATGATCTGGCAAAATGGACTGGTTACAGCTATTTGAAGGAAAATAAGTGATAAATCAGTGGAAGGCATTCAAAAGCAAGATCCAATGGGCACTGTTTATACATGTTAAACATGTAACATGTTGTACGCTTATTTAAAGGCCCCAGTTATTTAGAAACAAGAAAGTAAGAAAGCAGAAAAAGAAAGCTTACGACAGTCACAAAAAAAATTACTATGGAAATCATAGAGAAGTATAGAAAGAGCAACAGTGAAGTAATAAAGGAAATTAGGAAAGCAAAGAGAGAATATGAAAAAATATTGTCTGGTAAAATCAAGGAAAACTACATTAAGAATAAGCAGATAACCAAGGTAAGGTCTACCAGAAATGTACAAGGTAACATATATATGATGCAGAAGATGTCAGCAAAGTTCTTAACGAGTACTTTGTCTCTGTCTTCACAAGGGAGAGGGATGATGTAAACACCGTAGTTAAGGAGGAGGAGTGTGAAATATTAGATATGATAAACACAAAGTGAGAGAAAGTATTAGAGGAACTGACATCCTTCGAGGTGAATGAATCACCAGGGCCAGATGGAGTGTATTCTAGACTGTTAAAGGAAGCCACAGTGGAAGTTAAAGATGGTCTGAATATCATTTCCAATTCCCATTAGATAGAATCAAAATACAAGAAGATTGGAGGTCTGTAAACACATACCGCTGTTTAAAAAGGATGCAAGGGAAAGGCCAAATAAGCATGGCATTCAGTTTGATTTTGATGGTGGGAAAGTAATTAAAATCAGTTCTGAGAGACGGGATAAACTCACAGCATGGATTATTAGGGATAGTCAGTGTTTCTTGGGAAAGATCATGTCTTACTAACCTAATTGAATTTTCTGAGGAAATACATGAAGGAGCGATTTGATTAATGCAGTGGATGTTATCTACATTGATTTTAATAAGGTATTTGACTAGGTCCTACAAGACAGACTAGTCCAAAAAGTAAGAATCCATGGGATAAATGGGTACGTGAATTGAAAATTTGCTCAGAGGCAGAAAATACAGGGAAGAGTCAGTGGATGTTTCTACAACAGGAAAGCAGTTTCCAGAGCTGTTCTGAAGAAGAGTTATTCAACTCATATTGTTAACTTTGTTTTTCTTTCAACAGATACTGCCAACCTGCAGAATTGTTCCAGTTTCTTCATAGAATTCCTACAGTGTGGAAACAAGTCCACCAAGTCCACACAGGCCCACAGAGCATCCCACCCAGACCCATCCCCCGAGAACCCGCCTGATCTACACATCCCTGAATACTATGGGCAATTTAGCATGGCCAATCCACCTAACCTGCACATCTTTGGACTGTGGGAGGAAACCCACATAGACACGGGGAGAATGTGCAAACTCCACACAGACAGTTGCCTAAGGGTGGAATCGAACCCGGGTCCCTGGCGCAGTGCAGCAGTAGTGCTAACCACTGAGCCACTGTGCTGTGTTCAAACAGTCAGAAATGCTGTCACCGTGATAAATTAGCAGAGGAGAACTTCTATTCTCTGACCGGGAATCAAACCCGGGCTACAGCGGTGAACATGCCGAATCCTAACCACTATACCACCTTCTTTAGTTATTCCACTGATTTTCCATATGGCTGAGTGTTGCAACCCTTGCTATTTGTTGGATATATTAGTGATTTGTACTTAAATGTGGGAAGCATGATTGGAAAATTTACAGATGACTCAAAAATTGGGTGTATAGTTGATACTGAAGAGGATAGTTGTCAACTCCAGTTTGGTTGAATGGATGAAAACGTGACAGATGGAGTGAAATTTGGAGAATGTGAGGTGATGTACTTGGGGAACGCAAACAAAGCCATGAATACATAATAAATTGGACGATATTGAAAGAGGTAGGAAGTGAGACCTTGGAGTACATGTCATTGAAGGTCATTGAAGGTGGCAGGACAGGTAGATAAGGTGGGCAAAGGAGCATAAAGGATGCTTTCCTTTATTGGACAAAGTACAGAATACAAAAACAGGATGAAATGCTGGAACTATACAAGACACTGGTTAGACCACGGCTAGAATTCTGTGTACAGTTCTGCGCTGTATTAGAGGAAGGGCATAATGGTTGGAGGGCTGATTTCTGATGCAGAGTGACGTCAATTCCTGTACTGGTTGAGGTTACCACGAAAGTCCTGCCTTCTCAACCTTGCCCTTCATCTGAGATGTGGTGATCCTCAAGTTAAACTCACCACAGTCTTATGGTCGTCTGTCGACCTTACCTTTAATTGCTCTGGACATAGTAAAGGAGATTTACGAGAGTGATGTCAGGGTTCAAAAGTTGCAGCTATGAGGAAAGATTGGAATGTATAGATTGGATTTTCTAGGAACAGGGGAGGTTGAGAGGTGATGTAGTTTAGGTGTACAAAATTGTGAGGCGCCTAGTTAGAGGAAACAGGAGAGAGCTGTTTCACCTAGTGGAGAGGTCATTTACAAGGGGCACAGATTTAAAATGATCAAAGGATTAGGAAGGTCATGAAGAAAAACCTGAACACCCAGTGTTCAGAATTTGCTGCCCAGTTTGGTGATTGAATTAGAAATCTTCAACTTGTTTAAAAGGTTCTGCACCTGAAGTGCTGTAATCTTTAAGGCCATGGACCAAGTGCTGAAGGCTGAGATTAGAACGGCCAGCCCATTCTTTTCCTGATTGCTGGTGCAAACACGATAACTTGAATTACCTCTTTCTTTGTTACAATTTTTGTCTGGATCAGTTAGCAGAAAGGTATTTCCAGAAAGCTGAAGAGAAAATTTGCTATGTTTTAATTAACTTGATGAATTCTTGCCATGTTAAATGCCATACATGAAAAGAGACAATGAAATTAATTGAACACTTAACTTTAAATGTGCACCATACATAATGTGTGATTGTGTGAAACTCTGTTCCTGGAATGCAGCTACTTAGACTGCATATTATAAATCGAGTTTTAACATATACCATCAATCCCACAACCTGTTACCTTTCCTGCAAAACTGTAAAGTGTTATAAAGTTTAATTCTGATTACGTGTATAAGTATATGAATTTGTTAAAACATTATTGGGACAAAGATAACAGTTGTACTTGCACATGACTGCAAATATTGTCAGTCTTCACAGACTGAATTAAGTAACTGCAGTATTATTTTCAAATGTGCTTTTTGCTAATTACTAATGTGGAAATAGTAAAGCTGTACAGTGCATCATTTTAGATTATCAATTTGATATCTAAAGAACTAGCAACCTTCCTACCAATTCTATTGGTGGAATTGCTATTATGCAAATAATATACAGATGGAACAATAAATTCATAAATTCGTAAAGCCGATATCTGTCAACAGCATAAGTAATGATAATCATTTTGGGCATTATCTTTGTGACAATGTTTGGCAAGCCTATTTTAAATCTAGAAATAACTAATATTATCATATTATGAAATCTTTCCCTTTACAATCTGACAAGGGCATTAGCCCACTAATTTTAAATAGGCTAATGTTGCCAATAAATTAGTAAAGAATGAAATTTGATTCAAGCTTGTTAAGAGCTTGTACAGTAGAGTTGTTCAACTCAATTTCCAGGCTTTAGTTTATAGATAGAAATGAGCCAGAAGAGGAAGGATAATGGTGCCTTGCAAAAGTGATGCAATAATATGTTTCAATGCAATTTATTGTATGTTTGCAAATAAATTAGAAATTTTCTCAAGTAATTCTTCATGGTAATAATATTTGTTTAATCCAAATGTTGTGATATTACACTGAGTGATTTATTTTAATTTGAATGCAGGATACTAGTATTATATACAATTGTAGGGCATTGTTGTATTCCACAGTTCCCCACATGGTGAGTTCTCCATTTCTGACATTTTATGAATGAAGTGTCAGCAAGCACAGCACAAAGACTTAGAGACAGACTTGAGTGCATCACAATCAGAGCGGAAGCTGAGAATTTGGTCAATGTAGGAATTTGTTGAAATGGAAGGAAGGCATTTTCTCATCCCCAACTCAGAAGACTTGCAACTGAGGAACTAAGATGCATATCTAGGTCAGTGAGTATATATCTCATTTTTTTTTGTTTGTTTAATGATCTCTGTTTTTTTGTAAAAAAAATAGTTTGATCATTTGCTTGGGGGAGTGAGTTTTTTTTAAATGAAGCATGGAAAGGTGTGCATAACAAGTGTCAACTTGACAATATAAGGGAGAATCAAGTTGAATATAAAATGTGCAGAGAAGTACAAAACAAAATATGGAAGAACAGTATGAAAATAGCTTGGAGTCTGACATAACAGGGAATCCAAATGTCTTCTGAAAATATAAAAGCAATGAGAGGGATTTTAAAAAGGTAGTTTCTGACAAAAATTGAGACCTGTTGGTGCAGGCAGTAGCCGTGGCTGAGGTAAAAAGTGAATGCTTTATATTGGTGTTCAACAAGGCAGAGAACTTCGTCAACTCTAGTAGAAGAGAAGGTTGCAAGGATCCTAGTTGAGATAAAAATGGATTAAAAAGTACTAGAAAGGTTTGTAGTACTTAAAGTGGATGATCCAATCAAACCCATCTGATTATAGAACAACAGTAGTAATGATGAAAGTTTGTAGCTGCACCATATTGATTTGGCCTGTGATTAAGGTAAGTCAGACTATAAATTGGAGAGGTGCTGGTCTCAATCTTCTAAGACATTTCAGATTGCATATGTTACACACTTACTCTAAAAAGGGAGAGGATAAATGTGGCTGTTACAGACTATCATTTTAATGGTGGCAGTGAGGAAACTATTCGAAACAGTGATCTAGTAGAACATTAACAGTCACTTAATGGCATGGACTAGTGAAAGAGAGCAAGCACAAATTTCTGATGCACCAACTGTGCTTGACTAGCTTGATTTAGTTTTCTTGTTAGCATTACATAAAGGTTGAATGAGAGCAGTGTGGCTGATGTATGTGTACAATTTCAGGAGACATTTGATAATGTACCGCACACGTTAAGCTTGTTAGCAAAATTGAAACTCATAGTATAAAAGAGGCAATAGAAGCCTGGATGCATAAGTGACGAAAGGATAAAAATTAAAGTCACACAGTGAAGTTTTCCAGGTTTCAGTTCCTGGACTGTTTCAGTTCTAGAAGTGAGGTGATATATTTTAGTAGGAAGAATGAAGAGAATCAATACATACTAAACAATGCAATTTTAAAGGGGGACCAAGAAGAGGAATCCTAATGCCTTTGAAAATGGCAGGATAAGTTAACAAGGTAGTCAGTAGAACACATAGGTCTCTGGGCTTTTTAAGATGAGGCATACAGTAAGAAAACAGCAAGGAATGCTAAACGTATTGCCAACACTAATTTAGCTCCAACTGGAATATTGTATCCAATTCTTCAGCCCTCTTTCCACCAAAGACCCCTTTTCTTCCAGTAAGATTCCATTTGACTGTTCCAACTACACTCCCTACCATCACACGTGTTGGTGGAGGTCCTGGTGACCTCATTTCGCTGTCTTGCTCAATGCCCTCTGTTATCATTGCTGACGTCTGCTGGGCATTCTGTTATACACTTCCCTGCTTGATACTTGCTATCACAACAACTATATATTGGTCAGAATGATCATTTGCTGTGCAGTTCTATGACTACCAGGTTCAACTGTGCCATAGTGGCTAAAATGTTTGAGTCCACATTATGGGCTGCATTCTTTACTTGCGCCACCAATCTGGGCAAATGGTAATGACTGCAGTGATATCCAGCATTTGCACAAGAAGACCTCATACTCTTATCTGTATGGGTATCTCCAAGGAGATCCAGGCTCTCTGGTGGTCCACCCATGTTGGGCTCTAGGTGAGTCAGGGCTCTGGGAGGCATATGATTGGCAGCACTTGTTACTTCAGTTTGTCTCCAGGACCTGATCAAGTGTATTCCAGGATATTGTGGGAAGTCAGGAAAGAAATTGTGGGGACCCTAGCAGCAATATTTGTATCATCTATAACCACAGGTGAGGTGTCGGAGGATTGGAGAGTAGCTGATGTTGTTCCTTTATTTAAGAAAGGCTGTAAGGAGAACCCTGGGAACTTTAGACCTGTGAGCTTGACATTGGTGGGGGTAAGTTGTTGGAGGTGATTCTGAAAGATAGGATTTACGTAGATTTGGAGAGGCAAGGACTGATTAGGCATAGTCAGCATGGTTTTGTGCGAAGGAAATTGTGTCTCACAAATTTGGTTGAGTTTTTTGAGGAAGTAACCAAAAATGCTGAAAAGGGCAGAGTGGTAGATGTTGGTTACATGGACTTTAGTAAAGCTTTTGACAAGGTTCCATATGAAAGACTAATTAGTAAAGTTAGATCACATGGGATTCAGGGTGACCTTGCCAATTGGATACAAAATTGGCTTGATAGTAGGAGACATAGAGTGGTGGTTGAGGGTTGTTTTTCAGACTGGAGGCCTGTGACCAGCGATGTTCCACAGGAATCAGTACTGGATCCACTTTTGTTTGTCATTTATATAAACTATTTGGATGAGAATATAGGAGGCAAGGTTCGTAATTTTGCGGATGACACTAAAATTGTTGGTGTAGTGTACAGTGTAGAAGGTTACCTAAGATTACGAAGAGATCTTGATCAATTGGGTCAATGGGCTGAGGAGCGGCAGGTAGAGTTTAATTTGGATAAGTGGGAAGTATTGCATTTTGGTAAGATAAACAAGGGCGGGGCTTTAAATCAATGGTAGGGCCCTGGGGAGTATTGTCAAACAGAGAGACTAGGAGTTAAGGTACATAGTTCTTTGAAAGTTGGAGAAGGTTCAGAAAAGATTTACCAGGATGTTGCTGGTAATGGAAGGTTTGAATTAAAAAATAGGCTGGATAGATGGGGACTTTTTCACTGGAGCATAGGAGGTTGAGGGGTGACCTTATATAGAGGTTTATAAAATCATAAGGAGCATTAATAAAGTGAATAGCAAGTGTCTTTTCCTTAGGGTGGGGGATTTCAAAACTAGGGGGCATACTTTTAAGGTGAGAGGAGAAAATTTTAAAAAGGACACGAGGGGCAACTTTTTTACACAGAGTGTGGTTCGTGTGTGGAGTAAACTGCCAGAGGATGCGGTGGATGCAGGTACAGTTACAACATTTAAAAGATATTTGGTAAGTATGTAAGGTTTGGTAAGTGTGTAAGAAATTTTGGAGGCAAACGGGCCAAACATAGGCAAGTGGGTCTAATTTAGTTTGGGAGCATGGTCGCCATAGACTACCTGGACCAAAGGGTCTGTTTCCATGCTCTATGACTCTATGACTTTACTAGTAATGAGTTCTGTGGGTCCTTGCATCACCTCAGAGCTGCATCTCCGCCCACACTTTTCATTGGTATTTCTAGGAGGTGGAAGTGCTCCTTGGCCTTGAGATCCTTTCTCTAGTTTCTTTTCTGTACTCCTTGTTGCTGATGGGCCTTCTCAATGAAGTGTGTCCCTTTATACAGAATTTCCTCCAAGTCAGTTTCTTCTGAATGAGGGTCTCCCATGAATTAACATTATTGTTGCATTTCTTGAGGGAAGCCTTCAGGATAGCCCAGTTACAATTTCAACACCTCTTGAGGGTAGTGACTGAAAGGCTTACTGTGAAGATTGGACAGCAAGGACTGGATCTGCGTTTGCTGTGCAGGAATCTATCTGCCTGCTTCTTCAGCCTGAGGCCTACAACCCTGTCTGCATTGACAGACACCTCCGTGATGTTAGCTTCTTTCCTTGTCCTGGGAGTTCAGTCTTTCTCTCTGATCTATGATCCTTGCTTGAAAGAGAGATGAATAAGGTTTATCACTGTTAATCCTCCTCATCCCTGTCTGGATGTTCCCTTCCTTCACTGCTTCCGCTCGTAAGTCCTCCAGTACACTGCCCTGATTGATTAGAGGATGGATCCCAGATGATAATGTGATCAAACAACATCACCAACTCCAGGGAAATACTATAATGCATTGGGATCTCCTTGTACAGGTTTGAATCTTACCAAATAAGCCAGAAATATAGCATGAGATTTGAGCACATGGAAAGCCCAAATATCATGAAGGCTGGGATTCTTTATTCCACTAGCACTGGTCAATGTAAACAAGAGGGGAAATGAGGATAAATAAGCAACTATTTATGTCCTGTACAAGGAAAAAAGCCTTTGGGTTACTTTGGGCTGAGGAATTCTTTGTGTCTCTTTCCCCCCTTTCCCATCAGTCCTCATTTTACCAAAGACTCCTTTTTCCCCAGCAGGTCTGGCAGCATCTGTGAAGGAAAAAACAGAATTAATGTTTTGGGTCCGGTGACCCTTCCTCAGAACACATTAACTCTGTTTTTTCCTTCACAGATGCTGCCAGACCTGCTGAATTTTTCCAGCAACTTTGTTTTTGTTCCTGATTTACAGCATTCGCAGTTCTTTCGGTTTTTACTCCATTTTCTCCCATGCCTATCGAGCGATCCTCCATCACCATCGCCATCTACAGTTAAATGTCCTGTTACAGTGTGACCATTGCCAGGCATGTCCTCAGATTGAAAGATTGGGCCTGTGTTTGTTGGGATATAGAAGAATAAGAGGCAACTTTATTGAAACATACAGGATTCTTAGAAGATTTGATATGCCAACTTTAAGGGCATTTAAATGGTCATTGGATAAACATATGGATGATAATGGAATAGTGTAGGTTAGATGGGCTTCAGATTGGTTTCACAGGTCGGTGCAACATCGAGGGCAGAAG